GACATCCAATGGCACTCGACAGACGGGACCTGGAGTTAATGTTTCATTCAAAGGGTGGCACCTCCAGCAATGCAGCACACCAATGAATTGTTATTTCAGTATAGATTGTGGGTTCAAAGCCTTCATATATTGTAAGTTAGAGAGTACATTCCCACAAGATTTCTTCTGTATATTTATATATCTAAATCTAATAGCTGAATCATTTTAATTTCCCATTGAAACAAAACATTGGTGGCCAACTTTTCCTCAGCTCTCTCCCCTCCCCTAATCTCTGGAATGAATGCAATCTCCCCACTGCACTCTCAACAACTGAATATCATTTATGATATTATGAAATCAGCAATAAAGCTAGACACAATTGTCAAATCACTCTCTTGATATATCTCACAGATAGTCAGGAAGATGTCTCTCTCCTTCACAGGATTTAGTGCAAAGTGTATGCATTTTGTAAGCAAACATGGCAGCCAATTTGCCCACAGAAATTGCCCATAAACAGCCATGAATATACAATTTTGTTTGCAAAACACTGCGAGAAACTCCTTTTTCATTTTTACTAGTGTTCTGAGACGCTACTGTGCATGAGGGGCGCTATATAAATGCAAGTTGTTTGTGGGATGTTGCTGTGCACAAATTGTCTGCTGCAACTACACTTTACAGTAAATCCTGTAAATACGGTAAAGCACTTTGGGATGTCCTCTTGACATAAAAGGCAATATGTTAAATGTAAGGAGTACTGTTTATTCGAGTCTCAGACAAGACATATCTAACATATTGATATATAGCGATTGCAATAAATAATTTCACACTCAGGACTATACACATCCATCCTTTAATTCTTTCACTGCTCTGCACACGGGGTTTGGGCTGATGTACTGTTAAGAGAAGTTTAAATGTTTTTTACATTACGTGTTGTGTAACAATCGAGTCCACATTTTCCTTTCTCCTGTTCCCAAGTCTCTAATTGACTCAGTTTAAACTACATTGTGAGTAAATACAACGTTTGGTCTCATTCCTGAGATAATGCTTCACAGCTGTGTGCGCCCGCGGGGGACTGCGTTCCTGACAATGTCGGACTTGCAGTAAACTGTGTGCGGCTGTAACTGAAGCCGCTTTCCAGGATTGGAGCCATAATATTGGGGCCTCCGAGGGGAGAGATTCCCAGAAGGCACGTGTGTGCCGGGCAGTGAGAGAGAGGGCTTCAGGGCCAACACAGACAGCCCAACAAACCACCCGCTATTCCTGGAACAGACGCCATCTGTGGCTGAAGCAGCGAAACGAGACAATTACAGATCAGTCCGTCCAGTGTTCTGGAAATCTCTCCCTCCCCGAACTCTGCACTCGCTCCTCAATCAGGATCTGGGAGCTCCCCCCCCCCACACACCCCCCCCCCACACACCCCCACCCCCCTCCACAATCCCCCCACACACACACCCACACCCCCCTCCACAATCCCCCCACACACCCCACACACCCCCACACCGCCCTCCACAATCCCCCCCACACACACCCCCACACCCCCCCTCCACAATCCCCCCACACACCCCCACACACCCCCACACCGCCCTCCACAATCCCCCCACACACACCCACACACCCCTCCACAATCCCCCCCACACACACCCCCACACACCCCTCCACAATCCCCCCACACACACCCCCACACCGCCCTCCACAATTCCCCCACACACCCCCCACACACACCCACACACACCCACCCCCCTCCACAATCCCCCCCACACACACCCCCACACCGCCCTCCACAATCCCCCCACACACACCACCACACACCCCCACACCGCCCTCCACAATCCCCCCCACACACACCCCCACACACCCCTCCACAATCCCCCCCCACACACACACCCCCTCCACAATCCCCCCCACACCGCCCTCCACAATCCCCCCCACACACACCCCTCCACAATCCCCCCACACACCCCCACACACCCCTCCACAATCCCCCCACACACACCCCCACACACCCCTCCACAATCCCCCCACACACCCACCCCAATCCCCCCACACACCCACCCCCCCCACACACCCCCCTCCACAATCCCCCCACTCCCCCCCCCACACCCCCCCCACACACACACCCCCTCCACAATCCCCCCACACACCCCCCCCACACCCCCCTCCACAATCCCCACCACCCCCCCACACACACACCACCCCTCCCACAATCCCCCCACACACCCCCCACCCCCAGGCAGCACATCCCAACCTGGGAACGTGGCACTGATTGATTCCCTGACAGACACTTCGGTCTCTCCACATAACCCTCGATTGGCTGTTGAGGAGACTTCATGATGAGACACAGTCGGAGGCTATAAATGTCACTCGGTCACTGACTGATTGACTGCTTCATCGGACGGTCAGAAATTGAGAATTGTTCATGTTTTGTGCAGATCCGACCCCAATATATCATAATATTATAAGATCTCGCAGGGGGGGGGGGGCGCTGTCCGGGGAGGGGGACGCTGTCCTGGGTGGGGGGCGCTGCCCTGGGTGGGGGGGTTGGGGTGCTGCCCAGGGTGTAGTTGGGCGCTGCCCGTGAGGGTGGGGCACCGCCCACGGGGTGGTGGGGCGCCGCCCGCGGGGTGGGGCGCCGCTCGCGGTGGGGTGGGGCGCCGCCCGCGGGGCTGGTGCGCTGCCCAGGGTGGGGTTGGGGCGCTGCCCTGGGTGGGGGGGGTTGGGGTGCTGCCCAGGGTGTAGTTGGGGCGCTGCCCGTGAGGGTGGGGCACCGCCCACGGGGGTGGTGGGGCGCCGCCCGCGGGGGTGGGGCGCCGCTCGCGGTGGGGTGGGGCGCCGCCCGCGGGGGCTGGTGCGCTGCCCAGGGTGGGGTTGGGGCGCTGCCCGGGGTGGGTTTGGGGCGCTGCCCGGGGGGGGGGGGGTTGGGGCTGTGTTGCCGGGTGTGGTGGAGGCAAAATTGCAGTGTTGCTCAGTGACAGAAGTCCTGGGCTGTGGGCAAGAGAATGAGCTGCTTTAGTGTTTACACAACACCCACCTGTAGAGGCTGCAAAACACAAAGCTGTTTATGTTGTTAACAATAATATTAAATATAAGAGAAAATAAATAAACTTAGGCGTCAGGTTGGATCCCCAGCTTTCCTTTGTACCCCACATCCGTTCCCTGACCAGGACCGCTTTTTTCCACCTCTGCCACTTCCCGGCTGGACTATTCCTCGCTGGTCTCCCCAGCTCCACAATACACAATAATAATAATCCTTGCATTTGATATAGCGCTTTTCACGTCGGGAGGACGTCCCAAAGCGCTTCACAGAACACACTGTAAAGTGAATTGACTGTATATTTGTGGCGAACGCGGCAGCCAATTGCGCACAGTAATGTCCCACAAACAGTCGTAGATTGAAAATGACCAATTTATTATTGTTTTTGGTTTTGGAGGAATTATTATTTGACAATTAATTAATTAATACAATTAATTCAGAACTTCGCCGCTCAGATGCCAACCTGCACAAAACTCCATACCCCTGTCCCCCAGTCCTCTCCAGGCTGCACTGGCTGCCAATCACTGAACCCATCGACTTCAAGATCCTCTCATTCGTTTTCAAATCCCTTCATGCCCTCGCACCTCCCTACCTCTCTGACCTGCTTACCCCCCACTCCACCACCCCGCCTCCGCCCGGCCGGCTCCTGCCTCCTGTTGGTCCCTCGTGCCCTCCACCGTTGGTGGCCGTGCCTTCAGCCACTATGCCCTTAAACTCCGGAACTCTCTCCCTCAATCCCCTCCACCTCGCCCTCTCCCTCCCCACCTTCAAATCCAGCCTAAAGGTGCTGAGGGTCACCTCCCTCTGGCTTGGCCTATGGGAGCTCTCTCCTCGCTGGCCTTCCCGCCACCTCCCTCCACAAGCTGCAGGTCATCAGAACTCTGCAGCTCGTGTACTGCCCCGCACCAGGCCTCGGGACCACATCACTCCCACCCTCGCTCGCCTGCAGTGGCTTCCCATCCCCGAGAGGATCGAATTCAAGATCCTCATCCTCACCTACAAGGCCATTCACGGCATCGCTCCCTCCTACCTCTCCGACCTCCGACCCCTATCTACCTGCCCGTACCCTCCGTCCCTCGGGCTCCGGTCTGCTCCACATCCCCCGCCCCAACCGCCCGACCATCGGTGGCCTTCAGCCTCTCAGCCCCGAGGCTCTGGAACTCCATCCCCAGTGCCTTCGCCGCTTCCTCCCTTTCCTCCTTCAAGGCCGGTCTCAAGACCTTTCTCTTTGACCGTGACTTCAGCTCCGCTCTCGACTCTCTCCCCCCTCCTCGCTCCCTCCCTTCCCTCCCCTCACCCTGACCATTTCCCCCCTCCTCGCTCCCTCCCTTCCCTCCCCTCACCCTGACCATTTCCCCCCAATGCTCGGGTCCGACCCAACTGTACGGCGCCTTGGGACGTCCTCCCTACGTGAAAGGCGCTCTATAAATGAAATCTTGTTGTTGTTGTTGTTGTTGGCGTCAGACTCTGCCGCTGTCAAGCGCTCCCAGACGCTACCCCGTGTGAAGGGCGCTGCGCTGTGCAAATGCAAGTTGTTGTGGTGGTTGTGACCAGTACATACCTGGGAGAGCGGCTGCCGGGAGTAGTTAGTTGGACAGCTGGAGGTGTTTGTTGCTGGAGGAGCGGGAGCCGCGGCGTCAGCGCCCCGCCCCCCCCCCCGCCGGGCGCGGATTCAATGCCATATAAGGACATGTACGTCACCGAGTTCCCGTTGGGGCCTGACCGACAGCGGCGGCCTGTGACAGCCTGACAGCGGGGCCGCACCGCGCCGCGCCGCACACAGGGAGCACAGTGCTGCTGTATGTGCAGTCGGGTTTATTTGCGGGGGGTTGCGGGTGGTTGCGGGATGACAGACCAGAGAGAGAGAGACAGAGAGACACCGTACCTCGGCGTCGGGTTCCCCTTGGCCCCGCCCCCCTGTGACGCTCTCTGGCCGCTCACGTCACGCAGAGCCGCAGCTCATAAAAGTCAGCACCAGCAGAGCAGCCGCACAGTGTGGAGCCGACAGCACCGGGACAGGACCCGCCGCCACCTTCCTCCACAACAACAACAACAGCGATAACAAGGACACCATGTACTTTCCTGCAGAATATGACTCTCCTTCCCGCTGCAGCAACTCGCCCTCGGCCGGGGAGCCGCAGTACTACTCCCCCGCAGATTCCTTCTCCAGCCTGGGGAGCCCCCTGAGCAACGCACAGGTACCGTATGTCTCTATCCCTCTCTACCTCTGTATCTATCTATCTCTTTTATCTCTCTCCCTCTCTGTCTCTCTCTCTATCTGACTGCTACACTGACATGTTGTGTTCCGCCTGGTTTTGTGTCCCAGGGCTCAGAATATTACCACAACATACATTTGTACAGCGCCCCCTCACGCTTCGCTTTGCGTGAGGGGCGCTGTATGAATGCATGTTGTTGTAAGATTCTGACGAAGCCTGGTTGATGGGATTTGCGGTTATCAGGACACCCGCTGACAGATCGAGTTACTGCCGTGTGTTCGTGCGGGATGTATGCGTTCTCTTTGAGTGAACGTGTTTTCCCCCCAAAAAGTCACCACGATGCGTTAATGCGGCTGCTCCCCCCACCCCACCCCACCCACGCCCACCCTGTCGGCAGCCGAAGCCCGCAGTTTGGTGTCCATCGGCGCTCGGGTTGTAAAAGTCGTTCATTGACAAACCGGCTCTCCATTCAGGAGACTCCAGACGTGCCTCCTGCGTCACGGCTGACGTACGTTGTAACAGCCGCCGACCAATCAGCTGCTGAGTTATTTATAACCGCCAGACAGCGTCACGGGATCCATTCATAAAAAAAAGAACCCATTGAATGAATGAGCTGCAAAACGCCACAACTCGGGAGCCGCGCCTCCGGGGAGAGCAGCTGACAGCTGACCATTCTAACCGCTCTCCCTCTGTCTCGCCTCTCTCTGTAGGATTTCTGCCCGGATCTGGCAGTGACCAGTGGCTCCAGCTTCGTGCCGACCGTGACGGCCATCACCAGCAGCCAGGACCTGCAGTGGCTCGTGCAGCCGGCGGTCATCTCCTCCATGGCTTCTTCCCAGGGCCGCCTACACCCCTACAGCGCGCTGCCCGCCTACCCTAGGACCAGCATCCTCAAGCCAGGCAGGCAGCACTCCGGCAGGAGGGGCAAGATGGAGCAGGTAAATAATAGTAATAATAATCCTTGCATTTGCAACAGCGCCTGATCACGTCTTCGAGATGTCTCAGAGCGCTTGACAAGATATTCAGTACCGTGTGTGTTAATGTGGTTTATATCAGTGGTTAGCTGAGCGTTGTGGGAGATGGTGGGTTAACTAGCTGCAGTGGGGGCGGTTGGGAGTTTAGAATGTGAGCATGCTCAGTGCTAACGGCTTTGCCTCTCTGTGTTTATAGCTGTGCCCTGAGGAGGAGGAGAAGCGGAGAGTGAGGAGAGAACGCAACAAACTGGCTGCTGCCAAATGCCGCAACAGGAGGCGGGAGTTGACTGACACACTGCAGATGGTGAGGATCTAATAATCCTGATAATCATTAATAATATAAACCTGCCCCGTGTTCCAATTTCCCTGTATTCTGGTCAAAGCTTCAGTAAGACATGTCTTGATCCCACCCCACCCAGCTCAGATCCAAATCCCTGACTGTCCAGTGCCTTGGGACATCCTCCCGAAGTGCAAAGCGCTATGTAAATGTAATTTGTTGTGTGACTATTGCAATCTAACATGGTTTCTCTCTTGTAAAGGAAACTGAGCAGCTGGAGGATGAGAAGTCGGAGCTGCAGGAGGAGATCGCCGGCCTCCTGAAGGAGAAGGAGAGGCTGGAGTTTGTTCTTGCTGCTCACAAACCAATCTGCAAGATCCCGAGCCAGGACCTGGCCTTGAGCAGCCAGGGGCTCTCCACAGCAGGGCCAGTGTGTCTGCCAGTAGCACCGGCACCTCTTCTGGCCAACGCCAAACTGACAGATACTCCGAGCTCGGTGGAGATGGAGGAATTTGTCTTTCCGACTTACAAGAAAGCACCAGTGGAGGCGGTGAGGAGCGTCCCTGACATGGACCTGCTCAGCTCCTTCTACGCGGACTGGGAGCCACTCTACACCTCGGTGTCTGCCGACTCAGAGCCGCTCTGCACCCCTGTGGTCACTTCCACCCCGACCTGCACCACCTACACCTCTTCTTTCCTCTTCACCTACCCCGAGGCCAACTCGCACAGGCAGGGCGCCAGCGCTGCCAGCAGCAGCAGTGACCAGTCTCAGGACTCCCTCAGCTCTCCCACTCTGCTGGCCTTGTGAGCCGCCCCTCCTGCCGGCACTGTGCAACCCATGCTCTGCCCCAGAGCATAGCCCCGGCCCCGGGGTGTAACTAGTGTGTGAGACCATGATTACAGTAACTGGGTCTGAACTGTGGTGCTAGATCTACAAGGTGTTTTGTCAACAGTGCAGCTGACTCTGAAACTTAACTACTGTATCCCTTCCATTATTGTGTTTGTTAAATATAAATTATTTATTGTAAAATAAATTTATTTTCTAGCTATCAGACATACTGAACATAAAGCTCACGCTTCCCTGATCACTCGCTCCATCCTGTAACAGTGGTCACTATACTATGGACATCAGTTTTCCATGAAAACGTTTTGTGTGTTTAATTTATTTAGAGAAGATTTATTTTTTCTACTTTATTTTTCATGTGTAAGATGATATAATGAGGTGTTTGCCCCGTGCTAACATTCAATAAACGTGAACTAAATCACCTGTTGATGTGGCCTCTTGCTGAGTGCTTCCTTGTATAACATTTTACTTCACAAATTACAATGACTATCAATGCTATGCTAGGAGACTCCAAAGGGCATGATTCCCAGTTTGGAGCTGTGTAAAATTCAGCCTCACTTCCCACTCTTACCCTTGGCATTCCCTTAGGAAGCTGTGGCTTTAGACTCACTATGACCACAGCTTCCAAGTTTAACCCAGTTGCCACTTGTTACAAAATCAGTTTAAAACCTTGGCCTGAATAGGAAGCTGTGTCTCCTTGGTCACTGCTGCAAACTATAGGAAAGACATCAATAAGGGTTATCTTCCCTTGTGCTTGTGCTATCTTTCTGCTTTTAAACTCTCTGCCCTTGCCCTTTCTCATACCCTACTTTTCGCTTGGTTTGGCAATCCATATTAGCTTTGTTAAGTCCTTTGAGATGATTGCTGCCAGTGTGATCTCCACCCCACTTCCTGGAGTTAGTCTTGGGCTGACACAGGAACAGTGATATTTAACACTGCTGCCTTCAAATTTCCCTTGGGCTGGTGCATTGGTGAATGCACCTGCTTATTCCTCTCTTGATCATGTCTGTGTTCTTGCCTACAAGTGGTCTCTCTAAAGGATTTGGTTGGAGCTTTAAGTAAAATCACCAAATTCCTTTCTCAAGCACACACCAAAATAATTGGACTTGCAGCAAAACATGAGGCAGTGTAACTCCAGGGCAGATGGAGGTGCAGGAAAATGCTTGATCATCAGCCATCAGTAGTTATAGCAGCTCACAATCTTGTCCAGAGCAGAGCAATGGTCAGGCGTCTGCATAACAGGAGGTGTCTTGCTCTTACACAACGCTCAGTCTTTACTGATATTTACTGCCACAGTCTGCTGTTGAGCCTGGGATTGCCCTCACATATCATGGGCCTATAAGGATGATGCAACCTATGAGGATAATGCAAAAAGATTGCAACGGGATATAGATAGGCTTGGGGAGCGGGTGAGTAGGTGGCAGATGGAGTTTAATGTGCGGAAGTGTGAAGTTATTCACCGAGGTAGAAAAAATAGAAAAACAGATTATTTTCTAGAGGGGGAGAGAGTAGATAGTGTTAGAGTGCAGAAGGATTTGGGTGTCCGTGTACACCAGTCTCAAAAAGTTAGTTTGCAGGTGCAGCAGCAACTAAGAAGGCGAACGGCATGTTAGCGTTCATTGCAAAAGGTTTAGAGTATAAGAGTAGGGAAGTCTTGCTGCAACTGTGTAGAGCCTTGGTGAGACCGCACCGGGAGTATTGTGTGCAGTTTTGGTCTCCTTATTTAAAAAAGGACATACTTGCCCCCGAGGGGGTGCAGCGTAGATTCACTCAGTTAGTTCCTGGGATGAGGGGACTGACCTATGAGGAGAGGCTGAATAAACTAGGGCTGTATTCTCCAGAGTACAGAAGAATTAGGGGAGATCTTATTGAATCATATAAGATTCTTAAACGGCTGATAAAGTAGACACTACTGTTTCCCTGGTAGGAGAATCTATAACCAGGGGTCACAGTCTGAAAATTAGGGGTCAGCCTTTTAGAACAGAGTTGAGGAAACATTTCTTCACTCAGAGGGTAGTGAATTTATGGAATTCACTCCCCCAGAAGACTGTAGATGCTCAGTTCTTGAACATCTTCAAGGCTGAGACTGATAGATTTTTTTTAAAAATAGAGGGATTAGGGGATATGGCAGGCAATTAGAGTTAGGTCAGAAGATCATCCATGATCTTATCGAATGGCGGGGCACAGGCTCGAGGGGCCGAATGGCCTACTCCTGCTCTTTATTCTTATGTTCCTATGATCTGACAAGTACAATCTAATGGAATGCGTTGTCTGAAAGGCAGGTGTAAGCTGATTTGATAACAACTTTGAAGAGAGGAGTAGATAATTGTTTTGGGAGGACAAGTTTGCAGGGCTATGGGGAGAGAGTGGGGGACTGGGATTGATTTGGATAGCTCTTTTCAAAGAGATGGCACAGACACGATGACCCAAATGGCTTCCTTCTGTGGCTGTATAATTCTATGATAATGTGGGGCCAGGCAGCAGAAAGGTTTCCTTTGTCCCATTTGTTAAGTCCAGGATGCGGTGAGGTGGATTTGTGGTAAAACTCCGGGGATGGAGGGAGGGCTCTGGCCTGACACTGAGCTGTTGCTGAGCATCCTGGATGTGGAGTCAATCTCACAGTGGCATGTCTACTTACCAAAGCCCCTGCCACAAAGATCTGGATTAAACCTGGTACATAACATTGGACATTGATCTTGAGACCATCAAGGCGGTTGGCACATGATAAGCTATCCTGTAAAAGTACTCCCACCATACTGAAGGCAGATGTCTGTCAAACTCTGAGGCTTGGGCAACAGCTTCTGGAAGGCAATACCTGGAGTCTGAGTTTGTGTATATCAGGGTTTGGAATCCAACTTGATACAACATGAAATAAAATTTACATAAGATATATTTCCGACTGGGAGGAAGTACCAAGATGCTTAGCAATAGTAGTTGACATCTGCAACATACACTCAGGGCTTCCCAAGCCTTGGCTGTTTCCAGCCTATGCAATATTAGGTAAGCATGATGCATCCCTCCAGGGAGAGAGTGCACATTCCATTCCAACTATTTATCTCTGGGATTTCCATGTATAGATGGGATACATGGAATTTTCAGTTGAGTTTGGCGACGTTAAGCACGTGTGGGCACTGTATGTGGGTTTCTGGGTGTGTCAGACTCCTGGCTGTCCAAAAAAAAGTATACAGACAGGTACACATACACAACAACTTGCTTTTATATAATGCCCTTAACCGGGGTGGGGGGGGCGAGGTAGTATGTCAGAGCACACAGACACTCAGACAGGCACACACACACACTTTTCCATGCAATCCAGCCAAATTTCCAAATTTAAATCCCGTAGAACTGGCCAAGTTGACAGGATCAACAATGGGGATATCAATCCTGATCTTGTCTTTCAGCCATACATGCCCATTACACCACTGACATGCACCATGAGGCTGACACTATCTACCCTGACCATGATGTTAATCCACGCCTTATCATGTCGTAATGACTGTATGGCGAAAGTTATCAATTTGTATTTCTGACCAGAATTGGAGATTTCTGCCCTGAACCCACTGTCTGTGTCTCTGTGATTGTTGTATATTAGGGTTGTGTTACACTGTATCAGAGTGTGTGTATGTTACACTGTATCAGAGTGTGTGTATGTTACACTGTATCAGTGTGACATGAGCAAAGTGTGCGGTACATTGTGTCACAGTGTGTGTGGCATTGTTTATATGCACTATAATAGAACATGTTACTATTGTTACTTTGGTTGCTATAAACACGCCAGACGTAATTGCGGAATGACGTCTGCAGTACGTGACGTAATCACGTCACGTCGGAAGCTCTTTCCATATTTAGAACCAGTGATGTCATCGTCACCCGAGCAACCAAACAACAAACACCGCCACTTCCCTCCGCCCCACCCAACCCGGGACTCCCCGGCTCCCCCCCCCCTCCCCCCGGCTCCCCCCCCTCCCCCCGGCTCCCCCCCCTCCCCCCGGCTCCCCCCCCCGGCTCTCCCCCCCCTCCCCCCCCCGGCTCCCCCCCCCCCCGGCTCCCCCCCCGGCTCCCCTCCCCTCCCCGGCTCCCCCCCCCCCCCCCCCCCGGCTCCCCTCCCCTCCCCCCGGCTCCCCCCCCTCCCCCGGCTCCCCCCCCGGCTCTCCCCCCCCCCCCCCCGGCTCCCCTCCCCCTCCCCCCCCCGGCTCCCTCCCCGGCTCCCCTCCCCTCCCCGGCTCTCCCCCTCCCCCCTGGCTCCCCTCCCCCTCCCCCGGCTCCCCCCCCCCTCCCCGGCTCCCCCCCCCTCCCCCTCCCCCCTCCCCGGCTCCCCTCCCCCTCCCCGGCTCCCCCCCCCCCCCCCCCGGCTCCCTCCCCCGGCCTTCCCCCCTCCCCTCCCCGGCTCTCCCCCCCGGGTCTCCCCCCTCCCCGGCTCTCCCCCCCCTGCTCCCCTCCCCCTCCCCGGCCTTCCCCCCTCCCCCTCCCCGGCCTTCCCCCCTCCCCCTCCCCGGCTCTCCCCCCCCCCCCCCCGCTCCCCTCCCCTGCTCCCCTCCCCTCTCCCCCTGCTCCCTCCACCCACTCTCCCCCCTCCTGCTGCCCTCCCCTGTTGTTGCTATCAATCTCTTGCTGATTGCTGATGATAATCATAATAATCCTTGCATTTGATTACAGGCAGACGGGCCTCAGTTTAACTTCTCATCCAAAGATGGCATCTCTGACAACCCCCAGCACTGCATTGGAGTACAGTAACAGCCAACAGTCACATTGTACGCGGTGGGTCTGCAGTACTCCAGGCATTGCTGATATAGATATAAGTTGTTGTTGTTGTTGACAGCCCAGACCGCTCATCAGTAGGACCTGGGGCATAGATTTGAGGACAGGGATTCTTCCCACTCAGCTCCTATTAACCCTGCAACCCCAAGCTGGATCAGCAGCAGGAAAGCTTGCCAGATAGTGTTTTCAATGGTAAACTATGGAGGTTTAGCTGGTTTAACTCCAGCAGTACTTCAAAGCACACTCTGGGGTTCCCCAAGCCTTGGCCTCAGGGCTGGACTAACCAATAAATTAGGTAAACCATGGTACAGGGCCCCCGAAGCCTCTTCTGCCATCACTCAACGCACAGCCTCATGCCTCAACTTGGTGAGAGTGTGCACAGTTAGTGACAGCGAGAGGGTGGGGCTGGAGGTATGAGTCACATCTCCAGGAGGTCAGACAAGGTAAGAGGCAGCATGGAGGGCAGGAGCCAAGTCTTGCAGCAGTAGAGCTTATTTTAATGTCACTGAAAACACATTGTGATGCAGACAGTGTTGATGAATTTGTGCTCATCAAAAACTCACTCACTTAGATCTACATTGATCCAGGATAGAGTGAATGCACGCAATTCTGTCTATTGAGCATGATTTGACACATGCACTGAGTTTTCATCATGTTGTTGAATG